CATTTGGAGTCTATTTTTGTGTGTGGCGTAAGGAAATGGTCCAGTTTCATTTTTCTGCATGTGGCTGTCCAATTTTCCCCACACCATTTGTTGAAGAGACTGTGTTTTTTCCATTGGACATTCTTTCCTGCTTCGTCAAAGATTAGTTGAACATAGAGTTGAGGGTCCATTCCTGGGGTCTCTGTTCTGTTCCATTGATCTATGTGTCTGTTTTTGTGCCAGTACCATACTGTGTTGATGATGACAGCTTTGTCATAGAGCTTGAAGTCCGGAATTGTGAGGCCGCCAGCTTTGCTTTTCTCTTTCAACATTCCTCTGGCTATTCTGGGTCTTTCTGGTTCCATACAAATTTTAGGATTATTTGTTCCATTTCTTCGAAAAAAGTTGATGGTATTTGATAGGGATTGCATTAAGTGGGTAGATTGCTCTAGGTAGCATAGACATTTTCATAATACTTGTTCTTCCAATCCATGAGCATGGAATGTTTTTCCATTTCTTTGTGTCTTCCTCAATTTCTTTCATGAGTATTTTATAGTTTTCTGAGTACAGTTTGTTTGCCTCTTTGGTTAGATTTATTCCTAGGTATCTTATGGTTTTGGGTGCAATTGTAAATGAGATCGACTCCTTAATTTCTCTTTCTTCTGTCTTGTTGTTGGTGTATAGGAATGCCACTGATTTCTGTGCATTGATTTTATATCCTGCCACTTTACTGAATTCCTGTATGAGTTCTAGCAGTTTTGGGATGGAGTCTTTTGGGTTTTCCACATAAAGTATTATATCATCTGCAAACAGTGAGAGTTTGACTTCTTCTTTGCCAATTCGGATGCCTAACAAATAGCCTTTATGTAGAGCACTGTGTATCTCATGCACATGGAAAAGACACGTGGAGAACCGCAAACTGGCTCTTAAAGCTTCTGCCTGGGGCGGGGGGCGCCTGGGTGACTCAGTCGGTTAAAGCTTCTGCCCTAAAATGACATGTCACTTGCACTCACATTATATTGGTCAGAGCAAGTCACATGGCTAAGTGACATCAGTGGGTCAGAGAAGCATGTGAGAACAGAATGCTTTCCACCAACATGCAGCCCTAGTACAGCATTTGTCAAGAGGGCCTCCCTGTCCTCCCCTGACACTCTCTGCCACTGACCTGGTCCACCCACCAAAGGTAAAGATTTTCTACCGGGTCCCTAAAGGTAGGACCAACTTCTGTTTGGTTCATTGCTGCCTTCTCCCCACAGTGCCTGACATAACCTAGACGTTACATAAATATTTATGGAGATAACAAGGAGTTGACATTGCTATTGTGAGAATACTCCACAGAATGAGGCCTGTGTCTTTGGTTACAATGGTTCCTCTCCCCTGAGACCCTCCCACTCATTCTTGCCCTGTTGTAGACCATGAGGAGGCATGACCTGAGGCTCCATGTCAATCACTATTGCCACAGGCTCACCTCAAAGTGCTAAGGACACTCTGCCCTGACCGACGTCATCCAGAGCTGAATGCAAACCCTGCAATTAAGAAGTTCAGTGCCCTCAGGCTCCATTGATGCGTTCACACTACAGTGTGTCCTGAAATCTGCCTCATTCACCCCATCTTTATCTACTTGCTGACTCAGAGAGGCTTCCCCACGCTAGGGCTCGGGGACCTTGAATCACACCTCAACTCTGGTTCCAAGCTCCCCCCACTCAAGCTACAACTGCTGTGCACCAGACCAGTGTGGACTCTAAGCAGCCTGAAGGGTCCCAGAGACCTTCGCACAGATTCCCAAGGAGCTTCTTAAATCCACCCTGTGTGCAGATGATGCTTTGCCATCTTTGCAAGTGACGGGCCCTGTTTACCCACAGCTTTCCATGAGATCCCTTGAGGAGAGGAGAGAGAGGAACTTTGGGAGAAAGTAAATCTCTTTCAGTTTGTTTAAGTGCACGGAGAAATGAAATACAAGCTGCTAAGTTGGGGAAGTCTGCACCATCTGGTTCCTTACAGCTTGATGCTTTCTGGTAGGCAACATCTGTGGGTTAGGTGGGGTGGCCTGCCGCTCCTCTCACCACGGAATCAAGGAAGTCTGCAACGGTGGCCTTACCAGGGCACATGCTGTCTTCAACGTGCCTCTCTGCAGACAGCCACCTGTGTGGGGAGGTGGGATCCCAGGGGACTGTGCTGTGTGCTTGGAAGACACCATACTGTGCGGTAGAATGAACACTAGCTGGGAATCTGAGAGCTGGGCCTGCCTCTAGCTAGCTCAGGGGCTGTGTGACCTTGGTCAAGTCGTTTCCCTTCTCTGGGCTTTGTTTTCCAATTGTAAAAAGGGGAGGAGGTTACAAGATTTCCCTCGAGCTTCACTGAGGTGGTGCCATGGGAGGCATCAGGCTTTGGAGCTGGAAAGCCCTGCAGATGGGCCCGCTCACTAGCTGGTTGTGATCCTGGGCTCACTGAGCCTAGGTTCTCACCCGCCAACTGGAATCACAATAGTATTTACCACATAGAGGAGTAACGGAGAAACAGCTCTGTAGTACTTAATTCAGGTCTGGTGCTCAGTGCCCCAAAACTGGTTGCTAGGAAACTAATAATAATGGTATTGGTGGCAAAGCTGGCTCCCACCTTTACTCCGGCTCTGCTAGACTCTGCATTGGCTTCCTTGGCCTGAGCAGGAAGTCAGGAGCCCTGAGCACTCAGCCTGCACCTGTCTGGCCACCTGGAATTTCAGGAACTGACACTCTGTCTGAGTGTGCCAGTTACCGGGCTGTCTACGAACTGGGCAAATCCTGGCATCAGAGCCAACTTACCTATGGGTCAAAGAAGCAGTTGCCATGTTGCATTATTCTAGGGGTTCTAAGACAATGAATTTGCTCCAAAATACCACCTATCTTCCACTCCTAAACCACCCCCAAATCTCTACCTGCTACCGTCTAGATACATTTATTTCTTTCAGACACCTCTGGAGGGTGATTGCCCTTAAGGCTTTGTTAGTCATTAAAATATTAGTGTGAGTCAACTTACGAGATAAATAAAATGGATACCAGACAAGGCTGCAGGGGCATGGGATGAGAACAAGTAAATACCGAGGAGAGGGGTGGGGCCCGGACATGAGGCTGCCTGGGCAGGCACACCTGAGCATTGGGTAGATGGCTAGAAGGACCTCATGGAGGCGCCGGGTGGGAGAAAGCGCAGTTATAAATGTTGATGGAGTGCCTGCTGTGTGTCGGGCCTGGCCCCAATTCCCCAACCCTAGGAAATACACAGGTAGATGATGCAGTCAGCACCATCCCCGCATCCCCCTTGATAAGCATCAGCTGCAGGGCGATCCTGAATTGGCAGATCGGAATCTCCCGCCCTCTCAGACACCACAGTTCCTGGAGGCCTCTCGCAGGGCGAGCCTCTCACAGCTAAACACAGCAACGGGTTCTAAGGATACCTGTTTCTCACATAGCATAAATTTCTATTGCAAACCGGTGGGTGCTGAACCCTAGACTTGATGATCTGCTCCAAGACTAGAGGGAAAACTGGCTGGTTAAGTGTTTTCAGAGAGGTATATTCATTTCCAATGTGGCACTTCCCGAAGGACTCTCAAGGGCCATTTTAACTGTGGATGTTTGTGGAAGCTGACTTTGGAACCCAAACCTTAGGTGAGATGAGACTCTGATATACAGAACTGAGAAGTCCAGTGATCTCTGACAAAGATCAGGTAACGCACACAACTACTGTCCATTAAACCCATCAGCCTCTGTGACTGCCTGGCCAGTGTGGTCCTGGGAAAGCACTGACTCCCCGCACCAGGCACACCCTAGACTCCCTGACTCTTATTCCCTGACAATATCAGCAAGCCCTGGCCCTTATCCTTCCCTGAAGAGCCAAGTCCTGCTCCCCTGCTGGCAGCAGAGATCTTCAGCGGGAAGTCAGTGGATACCCACGGGTCCCCCCAGCTGAGGCATCCAGTCTTCTCTGCGAGGCTGGCCTCTCCTGCCCACCTGAGCTCCGCCCTCCACAAAGCTGCTGGTGTGACCTTCCTAAGATACAAATCTACCTGTGACACTTCCCCTGCTTCAGGTTTAGTGCTCGTGCCTTAGCCTGGAATCATAGTGGTAGTAAAAATAATAATCATTATAAGGATAAAGTCACAGGTAGCATGGAGTGAGTATTCGCCACGTGGCCGGCATGCTGCTCAGGCTCTTATGCAGGCTCTCATTCAGGCCTCACGACCCACTGGGAAGGGAGATACCATGGCAGGAGCTGGCAAGGCAGAAAGGCTAAGGGACGTGCTCACAGTCACAAGGCTAGCAAGTTGTGTTGCAAGGCATCAAATTGAAGTTTGAGGACTTCTGAACCCATGTTCTCTCGACCTCTGTACCATCTGGCCTAAACATAATGCTTGTAAAAAAAAAAAAAAAGTGTGGTGAGTACAAAGTGGCTCACACTCCTTCCCATGGCATCGGGACCTAGAACTTTCCCCAATCACAGCCCTGATCACACGGCGTCACAGCTGTCTGTGCACTTCTCGGCCCTGAGCTACCTCAGGTCAGGGACTGTGCTGATTCACGTTTACACCACCAGTGCCTAGCAGGGGTCTTGACACGTGGTCAGCGCTCAATAAATGGCTCATAGGTTAACGGATGGATGAATGCATGAATGAATTCCCTGATCCACATCAAACTCTGGCCTTCTCCAGGAAATTTCCCTGCTTAAAAAAGCGCTCCCCCAATTCTTGTTTCCCGAAATTCCTCCAGCACCTTTTCCTTGTATAGTAGTTCATTGCACCTTATCTTGTCACATGCAACATTTTTGTCTGTAAGTTACTGATGCCTTCACCTCTGCAGACCATAAGGAACTCAGGGGGAGGGATGGCATTCGGCCCTTCTTTTCCTGAGTCACCTTGCTGAAGGTTGGCTCAGATCTCAAAGCAACTACACTGAGTAGTTCATCCTGACCCAGGAGCAGAGAACAGAAGGCGAGGACACCCACTCCATGAGGAATAACCCTTTGTTCTTTCTGGCCCCCGTGCCCCGCAGGAGCCTCCTCTGGTATCATCGACCTCTTGCCATCCCCCAGCGCTGCCACCAACTGGACAGCAGGGCTCCTGGTGGATAGCAGCGAGATGATCTTCAAGTTTGATGGCAGACAAGGGGCCAAGATCCCCGATGGGATTGTGCCCAAGAACCTGACAGACCAGTTCACCATCACCATGTGGATGAAACACGGCCCCAGCCCTGGTGTGAGAGCCGAGAAGGAAACCATCCTCTGCAACTCAGATAAGACTGGTGAGTCTGCCCGTTATATCCCGGCTGGTTAGGCAGGGACACAGCCACCCACAATGTGGGGGGAAAGCCAGAGCATGATGGCGTCCTGGGAAACTATTCTCGTCTCTGGTTTTCTGGCTGCTGATTTCCTGGACTGGAGGTAGAGCGGGACCAGGAAAGGGGGGAAAGTAGACGCACAGACACAACAAATGCAAAAGCTGGGACTAGTACTTTTCAAACCGGGTTCTTCAGAACCCCAGCCTCCCCAGGAGTAACTTAGGGCTGCTGCATACGAGGTGGGAGTTGGGGGGCAGGGAGACTTCATTCTTCCTTCAAAGCAGCAACACCTTTGCTCTATTATATATAAGTAAGACTTCCAAAAGTTTATTTTCAATGAAAGCGTCATGGTAATTTTCCCAAGTCACTGCCACACGTAATCACGGTAGCTAACTTTTGCTAGGCATTTCCCCCATGCTAAGCCTGCGCAAGGCAGTTCACTGCTTGGTGGTTAAAAGCACGCTACCACTTACTGGTGATGTGACATTGGGCAAGTTGTTTTACCTGTTTCTCTGTGCCTCACTTTCCCCCTCTATAAGATGGACATTCTAGCATTATCAACCTCACAGGGTTTTTAATAGGATTGCAGGACTTACTGTATGTGCGGTGCTTTAGAACAGTGCCTGAACCATAAGAAGTGCAATCTGTGTTAGATATTACTGTTCTAGACAGTTTCTCAGATCTCTACAAACAATTTAGGAAAGCGTTATTGTGTTTCCCATTTTAAGGATAAGGAAATATCCCTGAGAGGTTAATAACTGTCCCAAGTTATATAGCCAGTAAGGATCAGAACCGAAATGTAAGCTCAGATCCAGCTAACTCCAATCCCGTACACTGGTCACCACATCCCACATGCGCGCAAACACACACACATATGCATGCACACACGCGCACACGCGCACACACACATACACACAAATATTTGGATATCCTATGCAAATTTTACAACTCTATCTTAAAGTAGAATTCCACAGTTTCCTATTTCAAGCGCTGCTTCTGTTAAAATACCCAAAATAAATAATAGCCCCAGCAGATGCCGCAATGAGAAGGCAGGATAGAGTGGTGGACCGCTCAGCCTCTGCTGCTGGACACCAAGGTTCGTTTCCCAGCCTTGCCACTCCAAGCTGTGGCCTTTGAGGAGTTGCTAATCTCTCTGAGCTTCAGTTCCCTCGTATGTAAAGTGGGGGAAATAGACATGAAATAATGTATGAAATCACTCAGCATCAGAGATAAAATCAGTGCTCAATTTATTTACTTGATGGTGTTACTATCAATAAAACTTCTGGTTTTATTCCACATTATGCTACTCCCAGGACCCCACATTTGCTGTTTTAATCACACCTTACAGTACGTGTTAGCATGTTTCTAGATGTAGAAACTGAGACAGAATTGCCTGGCTTTCATTAGTCATAAAGTAAGTCTGTGTCGGATCGGTTATGCCAAGGATGCGTTTTTCTGGGACCTTCATGCAGGAAGGACCTCGTAGACGTGCATGAGATCACGCCAAGGTTTGGGACCGGGTTCAGAGCTCAGCGCACGATCCCCGGAATCACCCTGCAGCTTGGTCCTTGGGGTGCCTGGCAGGGCGCTCCCCTCATGATCCAGAAGCCGGCATCAATGAGACAAGAGCTTAGGACCGTATATACCAAGGCAAAGCAGCGCGGGCTGGGGTTCGCCACCGCACACACAGAGTCCTTTCTGAAATGTATCAAATACCCTGGCAGGCAGGTCACACAGATTTCAATGTTCTTGCTTACAGAGGAGGAAGTTGAACCATGAAAGGTTGAAAGACTGGCCCAAGGGAACGCAGCCGATTACCCAGAGCAACAGGATGGGATCTGGTCCCGAGCACCAGTGGTTCTCAACCTTGCTGTAGAGCAGAAAAACCTGGCACTTTCATAAAAATACAAAGATGCCAAGTCCCCACCCCAGCGCAGGAAGTCAGAGTTTCTAGGGGATTCTTTTGTGCAGCCGTGGCTGAACATGCTGCCTTAAATGATGATGCCTCGTTGTCATCAGAACAGTCTACCCCACGGGCATGTCGGCACCTGGAGTCAGCACGACCTGGCACTCCTCCGCCTTGGCCTTGGCTCAGAGCAACACTTTACAGGCAGCTCAGCACTGGCACGAAGAAGATAAGGAAGCTTCCTCTAACTACTTTGACTTAAAAAAAAAAAATCTATAAGTACCTGCTTGCCCTAAATTTAAAAAATATCAGGAATAAACTTTATTTATAAAATAAAGCTTTATTAGGCTTTTATATATTCTCAAGACATGTTTATATCAGAAAACCTGAAAAACACAGAAAAATATAAAGGAGACTACACAAATTCCCTAAAACCCTAATACCTAAAGGTATCTCCTGATTACATTTGGCATATTTCATTACCAAATAAAATCTTATTTTTACTTCTATGTATATGTGGAATGTTCTTTTTGTTAAATATTTAGCTGCCACAAAGAACACCAAGGGTCATGAAAAGAAATGAAGTGGATTTCTGAGTGTACCATGTCTCTAGCCCACTAAAGAAACCAGTGACCTCAGTGTGGACGGTGACTCCAGGAATCCAGACAGACAGAGGGAGAGGGAGGGAGAAATTTCCTAGGCTGGAAGATGCTCCAGACCTCCATTCATTCTTCTCATTCCACTTCCTCACCTACAACTGCTCCTGACTCCAAATAAAAATAAAGGGGGAAAAGTCCTTCTTTCTATGTTTTTCTGACAGTAGACAATAGATAATGGAAATCAGTTGAGCAATTGTGAGGGGAATAAGAAATATTGAGTAAAATCCCCATAATCAGGCCAGAATAAGAAATATTGAGTAAAATCCCCATTTTATCAGTCCAAAGGCCGTGTGGCCACCCAGACATTAGCCTAGGCCAACCCTGCCACACTGGCAACTGCTTTGTACAAACTTCCTCGTTGTATCAGTTAAGATGCTTTTAGTTATAAGAAATAGGAAATACACATCAAACTGGTATCAGATGATCAAGGAAATCAAAATAATAAAGGAAATGTAGAGTTCTTGTAACTGAAAATGTCCAGAGCTATGACAGCTTCAGGCAAAGTGTGATCAAGGGCTTGGCCCTTTTCTCTGCAATTTCTCAGATCTGCCTCCATATATGTATTGATTTCATGTTAGCAAACAGGGCTGCAGCCGCCCCATGCCTCCCAGTTATATACTACAACTTCTAGAAAGAAAGTGTGTCTCTCCTATTTGCTTTCTGATAAAAGAGAGTTCTTTTTTGGAACCACTCAGAAAAGCTCCCGCATCACTAGCTTGAACCGAATCACTTTCTTGACAGAAGCGCTGTGGCTGGGAAAAGGGCCTGCGTGGCCTGACTTGGGCCTGGGTCCTGAACCAATCACGGTGGCAGGGAAACCAACCTAGCCCAGGCCTAGAAGTGGGATTGGTATTGATTCCTCACACTCAAATCTCAAGGTTTATACAGGATGTACAAGAATCAATCTCATTATCCTAATCCCATGATTCATTAGGACAATCTAGCATCCCTGTCATGACACAAGGCTAAAAAATTCTCCCAGAATCATCCGAAGATACAACTCCACCCAAAGTCTGTCTGACTCTAGGGCCCATGTTCTTTCTACGACAACAGGTCACCCACTCATCCATCTGTCATTTATGGAGCATGTGCCTTGTAGTAGATTTCAGTGTATGCTACTACGTAGTATATGATGTTGAGTTCTCTGAGTATTGGTCAAACAGCTCCTCCCCTCCCAACGGCTATTATCTTGTGGCTGCCGGACATGATGACGGGGACCCATGATGTGAGATTTCCTAAGCAGAAAAGGAAGTCTTTATATCAGAGGAGGAAAACATCCCATCCGTTGTGTATGGGGAGAGGGGTATTTATTCATTGCTTTGGACAGACACGGAACTATGACTAATGCTGAAAAATCAATGTGTCCCCTCCTCCTAGCAACTACATATGAAGCCGCTTCCCCTAACTGCACACAATAAGGTAGAGGAGACATGTTCTGTGGTCACCATTGTCAAGCCTGAAGAAATGAAACATAAGCCCAGCACTCTAGGAGAAACCAGTTGTGTTAAAGAAGCCCAGGGTAGCTGACGTGATTGTCGGAGAGCCCCTGTAGCCTTCTCAGAAGTATTTGTACAAAAACAAACAAAACTCGTTAACCTACATAAGCTTTATCCTAGGCCTAGTGCAGTATCTGAGTATACGTTCGGTTGGTATTTCAAGCCCAAATGGCTTCTCTGCAGAAGTTTTGCTTTCTTGAATCTTTGTCTTCCGTTTCAGTGAGCTCCACCATGTGTGTTCTAGAACATTCATTAGATCTGGTTGTAAAAGGGGAAACTGGAATGCCCGTTCCTTCCCCCTTCGAGGGTGTGCTCAGTGACGTAGCGGGAAGACCCCTCTGGCAGCGACGGATGCAGGCATTCCATAAGCACTCAGCTCGTCTCTGTGCTTTGCAGAAATGAACCGGCATCACTACGCCCTGTACTTGCACAACTGCCGCCTCGTCTTTCTCTTGCGCAAGGACTTCGACCAGGCCGACACCTTCCGCCCCGCGGAGTTCCACTGGAAGCTGGACCAGGTATGGCACTCAGCTCACCCCTCACCCCTCACCCCAGCACCCCCCTTTGCAGGGGTGGTAGGTGTGCTTCAGTGACGGTAGCAGTGAGGAGGCACCTCAAAGTTGTGCTCGCTTGCTGAGTTTGGGAAAATCAGCTCAGGGAGACACATAGCATCTTAAAGTCAAGAGAAAAACTGCTGCCGTAAGCCCAGCTGGAGGGGGAGGGCCACACTTGCCCGCTGGGACCCCGCCCAGCAGCTGCTGGACCTGCCCACATGTATCTTGTCCATTTGCTCCCCGTTGGGCTCCTGGGATGCTGGTCCTCTTGGTCCCCAGGCCCAGTTTGTGATCTCTGTGTGTACATGTTTATATCGTAAGCGCCGTACCTCCTCTGTGATGTTCTCTTATCTCCTTCGGGTGACGGTGCAGCCTTGCTTTTGGCGACACAGGTTGAGAACAAGGGGCCCGAGGACCTTGAAGTAAACAGTGACATGGCACACTGGGAGCCGCGCGCGTTCTTTTCTGAAGTGCAAAACCTGTGACTCACTCCAGAGCCTCCTGCCTGTGATCACAAGGGCCACTGTGTCATCCTTGTCAATAACAAATGAAGGGTCTGGTTGGAGGGAAAAGCTTTGAAGCGTCTGTCTCCAAAGGCCGTGCAGGGCTGAGATCGTGGAGGGGGCGGTCACTCCTTTGGGGGGCTGTGCCACTGAGGAAGGTTCTGGGCAGCAAGCCTAGCACTGGCCTTCACTTAGACTTGAACTGGGGGGCAGAGGGGAGGGCACACGTGAATTTTTAAGAATGGTTTTAAACCATCAAGGGGGAGAATGCCGGCAGATAGGGAAGGGGACTGTGGAACGGGTCAGCTTAATGAAGCAGGTGAGATGATGCTCATTCCAGGGTCTTACTGTCTGGCACCCCACCCATATCCTGAGTGCTTCTGGGGACCTCAGGCTTCCTTTCTTCCCCTAAAGCCCACTGTGTGTGCTGCCTGCATCACCTTGTCTAGGGCTGAATGTTCCAGAATCCTTCCCCTTCTCTCTCTTTCTTACGGGCATCTACCCAGGCCCCGGGTATGGCTAGTTTCGGAGAGTGCTACTGGGAAGCATTCCAGAAGGAAAACTCATTTACATTGAGATGAGAATGATAGCTGCCCCCTTTCATCCACACAGAAGCACAGACATATGCTCTTTAAAAGATAGATTCATTAACCTCAGGGAACCTCTCAGTGCTGGAACTTAAGGCAATGTGACAAGGTCAAGGATGCCAAGCTGATGGAAAGATGCTTGAGGAAGCCCAGTGGCAACTGCCTGATCTAGTCCCAATAAATCCCATCCTGTTGGAGTCTGGGGTTTTGCAAATATGGCATCTGGATTTAGTGTATGTTTCTCTGAGTTAGGAATTCTGGGTATTGCAGAAATTATGAAATCTTGACATTGCTTATTTGATTTCCCAGCAACCTCTCAGCTACCTTCTAAAGTGCCATATGGCTTACATGGGATATATTTAAATACATAATACGAATTGAGATGAATTAAAATAAATTCTATATTGTGGGGGGTTTAATAAAAACATTGCTATACTGGCCAGGATGATTACCGATGCCCTGCAGCATTTTCTAAGATGGGATTGAGAAGTCCTGATACAGGCAAATGAAGTCACAGGGTTGGGAATTAAAAATAGGTGAGGAAGGAATTCTGGTTCTACAGATAAAGATAGAATGACTCGAGGAATACTGAAGTCTGGGCCCAAAGTGGTGCATTTAAGGAAGGGCTGAGGTTCACCGAACACCTTCCCGGTTCTTCGGATCTCATTTATCGGTGTCTGCTCTGTATCAGGCACACTGCCCCTGAGCTCTCTCTCACCTCTGCTCCCTGGGTCTGCCCAGTGGATGAAATGAGGCAGGAACCATGGTCTTGTGACCTGCCCAAGGGCACACAGTGAACCATGGCTGGACCTGCCCTATTTCATTACGCTGTGCTGCTTCTTCAGTAAGCTTGCTAATTTAAAATGTTTTCACCTCTAAACTTTAAATATTTTTAATTTAGAGATCAGAATTGTCATTTAGATGCAAGTGTTTATAGTCTTGATGAAACTCCATGAAACTGTCAAATCTTCACTTTGCTTAAACCTTGTCTTCTTCCTTGTCTCAGTCAGCTGGGGCTGCCATAACAAAGTATCACAGCTGGGGGCGGGGGGAGGGGGGAGCTTAGACAACAGACATGGATTTCCCACAGTTCTGGTCTGGGAAGTCCAAGATCAAGGTGCCAGCTGATTCAGCTCCCCAGTGAGGGCCCTCTTTCGGTCCTGTAGACAGTCTTCTTCTCACATGGCAGACAGAGAGAGAGAGAGAGAGAGAGAGCAAGCTTGGATACTGGAATACCTGTTCCTCTTCTTATAAGGCCCTATGGGATTAGGGTCCCACCCTTATGACCTCCTTTAACCTTGACCACCTCCTAAAGGCCCTTCTCTAAGTACAGTCACACTGGGGGGTAGTGCTTCAATGTATGAATTTGGGGAGGGGGACACAATTCAGTCCATAGCATTCTTTACTAAAAAAAATTAACATTAAAAAAACTTAAAGGCTACTTATTGGTGATCAGAAACCCTAGCCCCTTGGAAAGGAGGCACAGTGGATGGGGTATACAAAACCTCAACCACACTCATATTAGCAATCCAGTGGTACATATAGACCCAGCCACAGACCTCTCTCTCCCTTATTCAGCTGTGTAGACAGAACCTTCCAGAAGTTTCTTGGATGTAAATCACTTGGTGTTCAGAATATACATACTTGATAACATCTCCTCCCCCAGGAAGCCACCTTGGGTCACCCCCCCTGAGTGGCTTACCTCTCCCCGGTGCTCCCCAGACTCCATACAGAACTCCATCATGATGCTTACTTTACCCTAGTAACCCATTTATCCTGCCTTTCTGCTCACTTTGCACTGAGCTCCTGGGAGGCAGTATTGTGTCTTACTCTCTCCAGCTCCTCAGTGCATATTATAGCCCTGAGCACACAGTTGGTGCCCAGTAAATGTTTGCATAACAGCAAATGGATGTCAAGATCAAAAGAAGGGAGAGACGACATGAGGGAGGGAGAGAGGAAAGAGAAGAGAAAAATCCAGAGACCTTTTAAAACCTCCTGGTGATTAATTGATCTTTTGATTCATTTTATGCAGCATTTTAAAATTCTAAAATTTTACCATTTGGCTCTCAAAGGCCATTTGGCTTTTATCTTGATAGCTAATTCCAAAGATTTTACTGTATTTGCCCAGTAGTGACTCTGTAATTATTGCAGAACTTTCTGGCCTGGGCCAGAAAGGACTCAAGCCAGTCTACTGACCCACCTTGGAGCTCCCAGAAGCATAATAAATATTCTAATGCCTAATGGGGCTTCATCTAGTTCTTTAGTCAGCAGTTTAGGCTGAACACAAACTATGTGCCAGGCTCTGTGCTCGGTACCGGGATCAGCTGCTGAAACAGAAGCTCCTGCTCTCTATAGGTATCCACAATCATGGGGCAACCAACACAGAAACAGTTTACATCGATATGTGCTGGGGCAGAAGGCAGGGGGCCAGGTGTGGGGAGTCTGTGGGAGCCCATTCTAGAGACACCTGACATGGACCTGGGAATAAGGGCCTGGAAAAGCCCCTAAGAGGGGACATTGTCTGAACAGAGCGCTGAGGGCTCAGTGATGTGGAGCCAGGCAGCCAAGATGGCAGAGGTGAGTAGGACGGCAGGCTTCAGGAGAAGTGTGGTAGACCATAGGGATGGGGCAGAAGGGGATCGCTTTGGCAGGTATTAGGACCCACGTTTAGAGGAGCAGGGTCAATTAAACCCCAAGAGGCTTTTCACATCATGTTATTGAGTTGGTACTTTATCCCCAAAAGAATGGACTATCATCGAAGAATTTTGTTATTCAAGGAGAATTTAAGGGTGGGTAAATGTGAATAATGCGAGTATGACATTCATAAAATTTACCAAATTTAAGTAAATACAGCTCAGGCCAGTGGCAGGGGCTGCGTTAGAACCAGGGTCCCCCCTTTCCTTTCTCCACGGCCAGGCCAGGAGCTCAAGCACTCGGCAGAGGCTTCTCATGCGCATTGAATCCAGGGCATGATAAGCATAAGCATGGAGCTCTTGAGGAGCGTGGGGAAGTGGGGGCGGGGGAGGCAGTTGCCACAGAGGAGCTGTGTGCTTCCAGCAGCGCAGCCCCTTTGCCCCACACCTCAGAAAGCTGTTGCCAGGGTGGACAGACTGCCAGGCAAGTCTGTTATCGGGCCGCTCCAGTAAATGTCCCTGACAATCCAGTGCACCTCACTAAAGGGATCCTAATGATGAGGAGAATGTCATTTTAATGGGATTTTCACTTATGATCTGCTAATGCAAATCCCTCAAGCCTGCAGCTAGTCATGTGCAAACGCAGACAGGAGCAGAGAAGAATGCCCAGCTGCCAGCTCACACAGGAAAGGTTTATTAATTTGCAGCCCCTCCCGGCTCTACCATTATTTGGATGTGGTTGACTCATTGTCACAAATTCTAATGATCTTCCCGTTGGACTTCTTGGTGCTTGGAGGGGAACCTGCTGATGTTTCACAGCATGTTCCACTTACTGGAAGACACAGCTTGAGGGGCGCCTGGGTGGCTCAGTCGTTAAGCGTCTGCCTTC